AAAAATTGAAAAACGAAAAACGTGGGGCGCATGAAATACATAACAGTACATATACACATACATATACACATTTTCTTACTCATACACATGCACAGCCACATATACATCCACATACATATGCATATACAAAAGCATATTCCACATCCACATTCAGATACAATTACAATTACTGATATACATACACATATTCTCAAGAGCACACATACACACACTAATATAACATTACTGTTATGTATTTCATGCGCCCCACGTTTTTCGTTTTTCAATTTTTTTCTTAATTATTATTCTCCACTACTAAAACGTGGTTTTTAAAAATATTACTTTTTATTTTGAATTTTTTTTACACTCTTTATTGGGAAGCCATCTTATGAGTTGTCAGACAGAACTAGAATAATGGTACACTTAATATTAATTTTTTTACACTCTTAATTGGGAAGCCATCTTATGAGTTGTTCCGCAGAATTAGAATACTGATGCATTTAATATTAGTGTATAGTACTTCTTTAGTGTATAAATATTATATTTGTTTATTAGCAGCCATGAAATAAAAAAAATTTCTGCTTTATTTACATTCAATGTTAGATTTTAAAATTTTATTCATTTATCTATTTTCAGATATGTAACCATGAAGCTACCTGTGGTTGAGATTCTTGAATTCACTCTTCTTTTGATCTTTTCTTTATGCCGCCACTTTACTACTGCTGCACTAATAACTGCTCCGAATTCATATGTCTGGAAGAGTAGTAAGTAAAATAAACAAATAAAATTTAAAATCGAGTTGGAATTAACAGTTAAACAATACGACACAATTATACAAATCATCGGGAGGAATCAAATTAATAGATTCCGTATCAGTATTTAAAATAACCAATTAGACTATTCGACTCAACTTAATCACAAATTGATTCAAATATGCAAATTTCATCAAATTCACTTATTGAAAATCTTCAAATTTACAGAAATAACTTGTTCAAATCAGCAAATTAAAAAAACTTAATCAAATCGAGAGATTTGATTCGAAACCTTCCAAATCAGCAACAAAATGATTATTCTAAAAGAATAATAACAGCAATTATCATTTTTCAATTAATAAAATTTCATTTATATTCGCATCTTGTTCGAAATAAAACATTATGAAAATATAATTCAGTTTAAAAAAAATAAAACGCTTAAGAAAATAAAGTATTTAAAATGATCACATTTCGTCTAAAAGGCTGATAGAATAACAGCACACTCTTAAATTTCATTTTGTTTTAAATTTAAATCATTTACTAATTTTTTATTTTAGAAAATTCCTTCAAGTGTTTTTTTTTCCTAAAGTTTCCTCTTCTCATTTGTCATAAATAATAATATTAAATCCGTTCAAAAAAATTTGAAGTTTGCATTATAATGCGCATTAATTAATGACATTTCCATATGCAATAGGTTCTCCTTTATTATAATGATATAGCATGAGATGTATTATACATATTTTTTCCTTTCATTCTTTTTCGATAACAAATTTTTTATGATAAAAAAAAATTAATGCTATTATTAACGTTATTATTATCATGGATTCATTAATCTCTTTTTCTAATATAAGAGTTATTTTTTTCAAAAATTTTTTTTTAATTATGATAGAATTTTTAAAAAAAAATAATAGCTGAAGATTACAAACGTTCATCTTTTTCATGATGACTCAATTTTTATTCTTCGTAAGTAAGCAGATACTGTAATAATTTATAATCCCGGTAGCAAGCACGGCAACGGGCGCTGCAGATTATCAGAGCATCTACGGATTATTTTTTTTCTCAGATTTAAAAATTGAAAATTAACACAGTACCTAAAGATTATTTTTCCTATCAGTTTTTTTAAAAAAAAGCCTAAAATGTTACAAATAAGAGAAACAGAAAAATCATTTTTAATCGATTGCTAATTGTTTAGGTTTTGCAAAATTTGTTTACCAATTTTCAGATATATAAGCGAAAGAAACCGAAGAAATCCAAATAATGTTTTTTAATTAACTGAAATTTTCTGAAAATAAAGAATTTAAGGACAACAAAAAATTAAAAAATTAATTCTTTATTTTGGAAAACTATATTTACTTGTTGACTGCATTGCGAACTATTCCATTTTTTGAATTTCGATTATTCCATTTATTTAAAAAGTATAAAAAAAGTTCAGTTAAAGTAAGAAATTTTAATTTTTTTTCTACCTTATGTATGCTAATGCTGTTAAATACATGTTAGATTAAGCCTAATTTTTATAATAATATCTGTCAGACTGTTTTAGAAATGCTGACAAATTTTAATTTATTAAGATAATGCTGTAGGGTGACGCTGTTAATTCTGCATCCAGCAATAGCGCCGTGAATTCTGCATCTAGCTATTATTGTTAGCAATGACTAGAATTTTTATAACAGTCTAACTTTGTAATAAAGGGGGTATCAATCTAAGTCTAGTAATCTCATAAATAAAGTACAAAGATAATTTAGTTCCATCTTAAGGTAAACATATTTTTCGATGAAATATATTACTTATTCCGTATGACTTAATTTTGAGAAAAAAAAGTCACAGTTGAATTGAGTTAGCGACAGCAAGGAACAAATAATTATGCACTTTTTTAAGTTTTGGGCTATTGCTTCAAACGTTTTTTTTTTTTTAATTTATTTTATTTGTTAATTCATGTGAACATTTTTATTTTAAATGATGCTTTCCTCAGGCTCTTGGAGCTCTTGCAAGACGATCGGAAATTGTGGGTTCGGTAAAAGAGTCCGTCATGCCATCTGCCATGATCCCACTGGTTCCTTAGAAGTAGATAATTCAAATTGTATTGAGTCCAAAAAACCTTCTTCGACTGAAGACTGTTTTAAAGTTTGTGAAAAACATAAAGAATTCCTTAAGTAAGTATTAGAAAAATTTTAAAGTTTTACTTATCATGCCATGTGCCCCCTTACGTAAGCTTTCGAGTATCTGCGAATGCGCTCCTGCAATGAGAAAAAAATTATGGTCAGAACTACCGCAATATGGTAAAATTTGCTGTGATTCTAGCTCTTTTGGAATACCAAAACGATCGCTATTCTTGCCATTGATCTCTAGTAATGAATATGGTTAAATTCAGAATGAAATAAGGTTTTATAATATGTGATAAAGTTTGGTTAATGTGGCAAAATTCGGTAATTTTATCATTCCTTAAAACGTGACATAAAAACCCCTTATTCGTTAAATTTACTTTCCAGTTTTCTAATTTTTACTAAATGTAAGGGAATAAAAACTGAAATTTTGAAATCCTGAATTTCTGGTAAACCTCAGTGTGGATTTTGTGCCAGTGTCGATGAAGTGCACAATATTAAATTATCAAAAGTAATGGAATAGTTAACGTGCACTCACTTTCGTAAGTTATCAAGTAAATAAATTACGTAAGTGAGCTTACGTGTTACTTCATACGTAAAACTGCAAAATCCCTCTATTAAAGGTATCTCTAGATTGCTGGGTAAAAATCGGCAATTTCAATGAAAATTTCGATTTTTTTATCCAGGGGTCTGTTTAGAAGAAATTTGGGTCCGTTAACGGACCCTTCGCAAAATATCTTTTCATAAAAACAAGCCCTTCACAAAATATTTTAACTTAAAAACGAACCCTTCACAAAATGATTTTTCTTTGAATCGGATCCTTCACAAATTTTTTTATCTTCATTATTGTTTTGTTAATCCCAGGGGCGAAAACAAGAAAGACAGATGTACACGAATTAAGTTTTGTCTTCGGCAGACTCTTCTTCCTTTATTCGTCCTTTCCTTTATTTTTGAATATTCTGCGTTCAGCAGCATAGGCTAAATACCAAATATTTGTATGTTGCATCTCTAATTTTGAAGCAGCAATTGCTGTTTCAAAATAGTTATTGCAGCAGCTATTGTTAGTTTATAGTTATTGCAGCAGCTATTTGAGGGTGGTTATGGACTTAAGTGGGCACCCTGTTTAGCTTTCTAAAACCTCATCTTGTAACTCTGGCCACTTTACTGATCCTAAAATCTTTTATGAGTTTGGAAACAACTATTTAAGGGTGGTTATTAACTTAAGTGGGCCCCCTGTTAGACCACTACAGCAGCTATTTGAGGGTGTTTATTGACTCAAGGTGAAACCGTGATAAATTAACTAAAGATTCGTTATTTAATTTTCAAAAGATCTTTGTGCAATTGCGCGGCAAAAAATTCTTAACATATCCACCGCAGTTATAAATCCAAACCTTACTTTCTTATTCCGTATAGGTGGAGAATCGGCAAATGGTCATCTTGTAATCCTAAAACAATTCATTCCTCATCTGTTCCATGCACTGGTGTCTCGCTGCCTGGTTTGGCGGAGCGAAAAATCAGCTGCATATTCACCACGACCCAAAATGAAGTGGACATTTCAGCGTGTGAACATTTCTGGGATGTACCAGAATCCAAGATGTCCTGTTCCTTAGACTGCCCACAAGACTGCGTTGTCAGAAAGAAAAATGTCACGTGTATTCTTGATGGATGTGAGAAGCAACATGGATGGTCAAGAGAGGTAAAGCTGAAAATAATTTCTCAATATTACGTAAATAAATTTCCTTAGAGTGGAAATTACTTTAATATCTGTGTGCACTTTTTTACTTAAATTTGAAAAAAAATATGACTATTTCTTGAATTACGTTGAAAAGTTTTAGTAGTTACCCACAAACAATTTTAAATAACGTATAAAGACACTGCTAAGTGGTTTAGAAATGTTTTTTGAATAAAATTTATTAAGACGTTTTTAAATTCATAAAAATTATCATTTATCAAATCTATTTCTTAGTTTTACCAATAAAATATTATTTTTACTTTTATTTGCTTACATTACTGCTAATAAGCTCTACCAGAAATCGCAATATTATGTCTTTCTCTACTAAAAAACTACTACTAACTAAAATAAAATAATTCTGACTCCATTTTACAAAAAACGAGAAACAACACTTTTCCCTTTTCATTTACACAAAAATTTGTTCCATAATATCGTCATAGCAACCGATGATATCAATACTAACTTGCAACTTACATATGCTCAAATAAAAAATGAATAAAATCTAGCACTTTAAACCATTGTACAACAAGTGATGGACAAAAACCTGCCGAAGTGATATTGAATAGATATTAAGTTTTCTTTTTCAAATTTAATGATTAGGCTAGGCTGATAAAATATAAATTTATTCTGTAAAGATTTTTAATATCGTATATTTTTTTTAATAAAATAAAACATTTTGTAAAAAGTTTGCAAACAGTTATAGATTTTTATATACTAAGACTCACATACAAAGTTATTTGGATAGAAAACATGGTTTTTAAAGGTCGGAATTTTTAACTGTTTCATTACGTATACATGAACATTTCGGAATCAAATTTTTGCCTTATACGCACTTTTTTATCAAAATTTTTGAATGATTAATTTGATAAAATGTTGTTCTGTGATTGTTCTGATATTTCAGTAACATTGTTTTAAGAATTAGCCCTAATGCGGTGGGGTTTTCATAAAATTCCGAACTTTCTTTTCCTTCAGGTGACAGAGCTGGTTGTATCGCCAAGTGATGAGAAATCGTCTTGTCCAAAATTATCCTCTGAGACAATATGTCGTCGGGAAATGTTAACAAAAATATGCAAAAGCACGCAGACTTTAAAAAAGAGTTTTCTACTTAAGGTAAGTGTTTTCCAACAAATTCTTTTTGTGTTAAAGCAATTTTATTTTTCATTACCGTCATATAGAATTTTTGTATGGAAAGAGAAGCATAGAAAGAAGCTTTAATATTGTACAAATTAGGGCTGTAAAAGATAATGGTGGAATCAGTTACCATACTTGGTGAAGTATTACTCAAATCTCGCTTTTTCACCAGGGATGGATGCCAACTGCTCCGCTTACCACTGAAGTTTTAATAATTTGGTAGTGATAGAAATAGTAAAACTTGCACCCACTCTTTAAAAGATTCACGACAAGATAATTGCTATAAAATTGCATTTCATATGATTTTTGGGTCAAAATAGCCTGGTTGTTAGGGCATTGGGCCCATGTGGAAGAGGACACGAGTTCGATTCCCCCCCCCCCGACCGAAGACTCCCCATGTAGTAAATGGTGTTTGATGCACGTTAAATCTTTCAGGTCACTAAGTCCTCCATCTTCCCTTAAGAAATTATACCTCTGGGGGTACTGATTGATTGTTCTCTGGTTCAGGTCAAAATTACGATCTGTAGATAAATGTATGTATGAATGGGTCCGCCCTACATATAGGCTGTAACGTGTGTGTGACTGGAGTCGTATTCTTGGCCATAGATGGCGCCACTAAAAAACAAGAAACTCACCCTCTGCCTTAAATTCGCTTGGTTTCACAAAGCAGGCTTGCTGATATTGGTAAGTGGCACTAGAAGCAACAACTTTGAATTTTTAATATGTAGTATTTAAGAAATCACTTATAATGAAAAATACTAAACTAATAATAACTTAAATTTCGTCACCACTAGAAAACATTATTTTACGAAGCAGAGTGAATTAGCAAATTTGTTTCACTACGTGTCAAAATCATGTAAGTTGTGTATACGCTACTCTCTATTTATTTATATCACTACACATTCCGTTTACCAGAATCCGCGAAAATTACAGAACTAAAATCCGCTGCAGGTCAATATCGAAAATATCTTAGTTTCCTGATTTTGTGAGAAACAAAGATTCTTAAGGTTTTATACTTTGCCTGGTGATGTGACGACGTCGATCCCTGACTTCATTATTTTTAATAATGTTGGAGAAAAGTCATTCCTGAATTTCTATATTTTGCCTAGTGCTGAATTGAAGTCATTCCTCAGTTTCCATATTTTGCCTTGTGCTGAATTGAAGTCATTCCTCAATTTTCATATTTTGTCTTGTGATAAATTGAAGTCATTCCTTAGTTTCCATATTTGGCCTAGTGCTGAATTGAAGTCATTCCTCGGTTTCGATATTTGGCATTGTGCTGAATTGAAGTCATTCCTCAATTTTCATATTTTGTCTTGTGCTGAATTGAAGTCATTCCTCAGTTTCCATATTTGACCTAGTGTTGAATTGAAGTCATTCAACTATTTCAATATTTTGCCTTGTTGTTTTGGGACATATTCATTCCTAAATTTCATTATTATCTCCAGTTTTGGGGCGAAAATCACTCAGCAATTTCTATACTTTGACCGGTGTTGAGGAAAAGTTATTCGATGATGTTATTCTTTACCAGGGGTCTGTCCAGACATTTTGTGAAAGACAAAACTTAGTTCGTTTACATTTGTCTTTATCCCCCCCCCCCTTACNCCCCCCCCATCCTGGGAAAGTTTTATTCGATTAACTAAACAATAATAAAGATAAAAACGGTGTTCAAACTATTTACTCTAAAATAAATCATTTATCAACCCAATCGGCAATGAATTATTTAAGGTGTAGTTAATGAATTGATAAATATAAATATATTTATATTAAAAACATTTTCGAAATCAATTACGAAATTGCCTAAATATCAATTGCCAGCTTTTTATATTCAAAAATAAACAATCCTTATATTAACGAAACATTTTTAATGATGCATGAAGTAAATACTTAAATTTATTAAAAGTTAAAAGCACTATGAATAATAAAAATTTCGAATAATCATTTACGGTAATTTATATTGCATGGTCAAACTAGTTTAAATCTGAAAAATCTAAAAAAATAATGCAAATAAATTTTTCTCTCCAAGTTTAATTAAAGCTCACATACACTTGTTAAAAAAAAAACGAATTCTCCTAAATCTATTTTTTTTAAGTTTGAAAAATAAAAAGTTATTGGAAAAAAAGCTAATTTATATTACTTTATTCTTTAATAATTTGAATCTGTGTTTTCCGAGATAAAAAGAATTCCATAATTTAATCTTATTTTTTTTCATGCCTTTTCAAACATGCGCGTAAATTTCCTCGCTCTTTTTAGTTATGCCCATTCTTATAAGACTCGGCTATTAACAGAACTTCTTAATTAAGTTCTTTCTCTAATAATGAGAAAAATGGAAATAACGTTTTTCTTAAAAAATAGCGAGCCAGTAAGAAGAGAAACTTATAATTGAAGAACGCTTACTTTTTTAACCCGTGGAAATCATTTGTTGAATAGTTGATTACTTTGTCAATAAGAGGGAAATGTTCTTTTTGCTAATTACAAGAAAGAAGATTATTGTTCTACAAGATGTTCTTTTTCTATCGTTTTCGATGTCAATGGAAGGTGATGTAACAATTCTTACTTTTAATTAAAACTTGGCGAAATATTTTAATATTAAAACACTGCAATAGGCGTTGAGTTGTTTCACAGCTTGAGTAATGAAGGCAAGAAAATTGGACTTCTGTGTTCGTATCTGATAATCTTATTTAATGTTTTTTTTTCCGGGGAAAGTGGTAACCATTTGGTTGTTTGATTATTTTTGTCTTCTTATTTCTCTGTTTAGTTACCTTAAGAGATTGTTTACATGTAAGAATATTATTAAACATATAATGAAAGTCAGGTTTGATAACGTAATAAAATGCACAACGTAAATTAGTTGTAATATTTAATGTTAGAATAATTAATGTTAAAATAGTTACTCTTGATGTAATCACTGTTAAAATAAATTTGTTTCGTTTTACCATCCACGTTGGAGAATTAGAAGCACCGAAGTTAAGAGAAACCTTAAAATCCAAACTAAAAAATCGAAAAATGAAGATTATGTAACTATTTAAATAATTGATTTTAATAACAGCTTTGAAGTTTGAGAGCAAATATGAAAAGGAATATTTTAAACTTAAAAGAATATTAGAATTTTGATGTAAATTCGTAAATTAGATTATTAAACTTCAATAAGAGCATTAAAATTTGAATTTAAATTATGATTTTGAATTTTGATTATCCTTACTTAGATGTGGAATTTTTATTAAAAATATTTTTCAAGTATTTTCATTATTTTTTATTAATTTTGGTTAAAATGAGTGAAAAATATTATATTTAGCATTTTAATAACTTATGGCTATGAAATACAGCATGGAACACAGGTGTCTTTTTCTGTGATGAAGCTTAAATTTTCCAAACACTTCCATCAAAAGTTTTTTGCAAATTTGCAGATTTGTTATTTAAATGTTTAAATGTAAGAGAAACAGTTATTCATCTATGAAATTTCTTTAATTTACCAAAATCAACTATTCATAAATTTTTGAATATGAATGGAAAAAACATTTCAAACCACTTTTTTTGGATTATATATTTTAGTAAAAATTTAATTTCGATAATCTAACAGATTTTTTGGTACCTATTAAACTGTTTTTCATAATAAAAAATTGCCATATTTTAGTAAAAATTTAATTTCGATAATCTGACAGATTTTTTGGTACTTATTAAACTGTTTTTCATAATAAAAAATTGCCAAAACGTATTAGTGTATGTATATATTTTGTTATCGTAATATAGAGTTCTCAATTCAATTCACCAATTCATAGAGCTTCAATTCACTCAGAAACTTAATTCCCCCATGATCGATAAAAAATACTGATTTGTTCAATCCTTATGTTTTCTAGGTAAAAAATAAAATAAAATAAATGAATTGAAAAACAGTTCATGCGCAATATGGAAATTTATAAAAATTATTGGAATGAAATTGGAACATTATTTTTTTTACTGCTTTAATTCTCTTGTATTTTATTATTTGTCCACAAAAAAGCTTTTTATTCCATTTTTAAGCGAAATATTATATTCTTATCGAGACTTTATTCTTTCTATAAAATTTGTAAGAAATGCTTACTTTGCCAATAGAAAGGTAATGTTCTTTTGTGCTAAATTCGAAATAGTGATTCTGTAAATTGTCCGTTATCGTTTTTTTTTAGTACTATGGATAAATCCGTCAGAATAATCGTTTTCTATTACTGCAGCAAAGCCTTTAAATATGGCTTAATGTAAGATTGAAATATTACTATGGGTGAAGTGCTTTTTTTAATGATTTCAACAGTGTTTTTTTTCCCAACGTGTCTTCGGGTTTCTCATAAAGTGTTTGCAATACCTAGTCTAAGAGGAGTTTGCGGAATTATTTTCTCCTTAAGTCATCATGTCAATTTATCTTTAAAAAAAGTTAAAGCAAGGAAGTTAAGTTTTTTTTTTTAAAGTTACTTTTATAATTTTTAGTTCTTTCCATTTTAGTTAAAATACTGAAACTTTAAAAGAAAAAGAAAGAATAATGTATTATAAGGCTCTTATTTAAATGTCAAGTACTTTTTTTTTTGCTGCTATACATCTTTTTTTATCTGAGATCTTTTTTCTCTCTCAATTTTAGTGCTTGTTTTTTAGATTTTGTGGTACTTTTATTTTTTATTTTAAAGCATATTTTAACCTTTTTTTTTATAACACTTCCAAAAGTGTCAGAAAAATAAGATTTTCCAGGGAGGTAGATCTGGAGCAGTAAACCCAAACCGTTGATCGTGAGACCGGGTACATTTTCTGTAATTGAATTTTATTGATTTATGTTTTCTAGAAGTGTTTATTAAAAGACAAAAATCAAACTTTAAGAATTTGTTTAAAAAGTTGATATTTCTTCAGGTATTGGTAGCCAGCAGAAAAATTTAAAAACTGTATAATAGCTCTGAAGTTTCATAAGTTTGGTGACCACTAATCTAAAGTGTGAGAATTGGAAGTTGGAACGTTCTGTCTCTCTATAGAGCCAAGACTTTGCATTTGCTGTTACAAGAAAGCGGGGAAGTCAGCGGTTGAGATGGGCTCACTCGGTGGAGTCTGATTTTCTTGCAATTAAAGAAAAGAATTGGAGACCAAAGATAAATCGGAAATCGTTAAGGAGAAATCTTCAGAGGAAGGCATTGGCCCACATTGGGCTGTCTGGCCAACTATGATCATGATGACGAATCTAAAGTGTTTCGAAAAATCCCAAGTAGTGAAAAAACCCAATGAGGCGACCCAGGTTGGAATCCCATTCGTGGCTCGTTAATAAGAATTTTGCTTCCTGCTCGCACCGACTACAATGCTGTAAAATATCGTTATTGATAGATGGATTATGGGTTCGAATCCCTTTCCGTCGAGCTAACCGTGGTGTTCTTCTCCATGTAGCGCAAATGTGGGCTAGTTCCAGCAATAAGTACTCCACGAAGGCTAGTTTGCATCAATACTTGATCCAGGAGTTCCCTTGCTTTCTGAATTTGGAATTGAAGATTACGGAGTTGAAAACTGATAATTGTATAATAGGAATGATAACTTTTGAGTTATGTTTGTTCAAATTTTGGATTCCTAGCAATGTTTGCGTTAGACTTGAAAATTCGTTTTATTCACAACATTCTCTTTTAAATTGCAGAAATAATTTAATTTGAAGAAGCAAACTTTTTACATAAAAAAAAGTTTTTAAGGGAATGTTATTTGCTGCCTGTTGTCCAAAATTTTTTTAAGCTCATTTAAATACAAATTCTAAACATGGGAATAGTCAATAGCAGTGGCGTACGCATAATTTTTTCAAGGGGGGTGTTCATAATTTTCTGAAACTACTAAAAGAAATTCGAGTCTGTAATAAAGCACTATTATTTCCCTAATTTAGACAGCTAGACAATTTTGACTTTTTATGTAGACAACATTGTTTAGTTAAATTTTGATTTCCTTTTTTAAGTTTAAGAACATAATGTAATATCTTCTAAAAAAAGTCCAATGTCATATGGGTGGGAAGTAACACTTTGAGGGCCACTTTCACATTCATCAGATTTTGTTACGCTAGAAACGTTTTCTTCAACGGAAGTATCACATTTCTGTACAACAGAGAAACTAACATCGGTACTAGATGCTGCCAAGTCACTAATTTCAGGTCGCGGTTTTTTCTCAAAATAATTAAAAATTGTTAAATTCTTGCGTTTTGACATCCTAAAGATCCAAGAACAGCAAATATATATATATATATATGAATTGGTACTGAAATATCCGCTACGCTACGATCTCAAAGCTTCGAGCTGGAATGAATAACTTCAACGAGCACAGTATCTCCAATGGTATTGTTACTGATTTCTTCACTAGTCGAAATAGTGGCAGCGACGGGTTCGGCGATTGAAGGAATTTTTCGTTAAGACAAAACAAAACAGATTTAGCGACAAGCTCCGAAAGACAAGCGGCAGAGATAACTCTCAGTCTGACTAACTAACTCCACTGTACTCCGTTCCCCCTTTTATGTAACTTTTCACCGCATGTCCAAACTTCTCGAATTGTCTCAAAGACGACAGAACGAATGTCAGCCAGTCTCGAAAACTATACTGGTAAGACAGAAAGGAACCAGTCCGTAACAGTATCACGTGAATTTGGTTTCAAAAGTACAACCCTATTATACCAAATGTTTTTTCAGTATTCTGAGAAATACCGGAGAAAAGAAAAGTAGGCATAAGGCAGATAAAAATATATAGTCTTAAAAAATAATAGCTAGCATAATTTCTACTAAAATTTTTATTTTTGTCTGAGCTCAAGGGGGGTGTTTAAACCCCTAAACCCCTCCCTTGCGTACGCCACTGGTCAATAGTGTTCCTAGAACCCAATTGGAACTTAAAATACAGTTGATCTACCTACCCTTAATAGCCGATCGGCCTGTGTAGGGGTTAGAGAACTGCCCTTGAATTGGAAAGTCTCTGGGTTTGAATCCCGGGCAAGGCATGAGTGTTCTTTCCTTCTCTGTACTATCTGTCCTTACTGTGGGAACAACGTTGGCCCACCTAATATGGTGCCCCTGAATGAGTGGTCAACAAATCTGCCGTTCATATGCCTGTATGATGCCCAGGTGGGTCATTCTAAAAAGATGGGCATTGGAATGAAAAAAAAGAAGAAAAGAAACCCCTACTTTTAATATTTTACTATACAATAGCTTTAGGTAAAAGCGATGAATAATGCTGGATGGATACGATTATCTTTGAAAAACTAGTCTTATTATTTCCAAAAGTTAAGAGGGAGGCGCTGTTTTTCAACAAAAAAACTTTGTTTTAAAAACTGAATTTTAAAGAAATTAAATAAAACTTGAATAAGCTCTCTGTTCCCTTGTTTTCTATTTAGTTTCAAAGATTCTTAAAATTAAAAAATTAAATTCATAGTGCTAAAATTCAAAATTATGCGTAAGTAAATAGAGGTTTGTAATGTTCTTGGTTTTTTCTTACGAGAGGAAAAGGATTAAAAATTATTTAAGATGCTCATGTAATATTTAAACAGCCCCTAATATCGTTTACGTTTGGCGCAGTATAGTCAACACCGTTTGATTGACTTAGTTTCGCTTTGTTGTGTTATACATGGGATAATAACAAACTAATGAAATGGTAGATATTCATCTTAATATGAATTCTAATGTAGTGATATATTAATCTTTATATACTGATTCTCATTTAATTTTCATAGATAGGAGACTGGAGTAAGTGTCGAGCTACCGACAGAGATTATGCAAATGGTTTTCATCCGGGACTTGATATTCGACTTTCAATGCAGCCAATCATTGGATTCACCAGACGTAATATTACGTGCATCACGGAAGAAGGTGTCACCACTGATTTGAGGTAAGTTAATTAGGAACTTTCAAGCAAATACTTTATCACTGACTTTTAATCAATTTCTGTCGCCTCTTGATTTCCCAGAGACATCACACTCAATCAAAACTCATCGTCATGAAAACTCATTTAATGATTTATTAATTACTACCGCTGTTAATTTATGGAAGGCAAAATATCCAGGCACGTTTCCGGAATCTTGTTACAGTTTCATTTTATCGTGCGTCTAAGTTCTAATAGAAGTCTTATTGTTACGCTAACGTTTAACTTTTGTATTTAATACATATTTTATATTACATGTATTAAAATATTTATTAATATCACATGATAACATGGATTAAATATTGATTTGATTATCTTTTCGATTAAATATTGACTTTGTTTTTTGCGATAAGATATTATTTTATTTTTTTCGATTAAATATTTATTTAAAATATCTATTCCATCAAATAGGGATTATATTATCTTATCGATTAAATAGTAATTTGATCATCTTTTTCATTAAATAGTGATTTAATTTTTTTTAGATTAAATATTAACAATGGTGCGTAGCATTTTTAAAAAGTACTTAAAGATACTTAATTTCGTGTTTTAAAAGCCCTTAATAGCGGTTTTTTATTGGGTGTTTTTAAAATATGCTTAATTTTCCCTTTTCGAAAATGAGATTTTTTTTTACCATGTCGATTTTCGCCACTTACGCGAAAGCGTGGTTTTCGCATAATTCTATGAAACGTTTTCACAATCCCTTTTGATGTACCGTTGGTCCTTAGCGCATGAAAGCACCAATCATTTTGCATGTTTGAATAAATACTTGCGAGTCCGCATGTGCATCTACTGATTTGGGTTCTGTGAGATTCTTGCACTCTCATGTGCAACTCAGCTGCATTTTGCAGGCTTCAAATCGAACCGAAAAATCTCTCGATTTTTTTTTATGGTGGCTAATATAATCAAGAAAAGATTTCTTTGTCAGAAACTAGTACATGATCGTGTAAAGTCTTTGAAAATTATTTTCCATTTTGTTAATGTATATAGTGCTTAAAAGGTGTTTATTTTTTGTTGAAAGGCTTAGCTACGCACCTTGATTAATTTGATTATCTTTTCGATATAACATTGATTTGATTATCTTTTGCAATTGAATAAGGATTGAAACATATTTTTGGTTAAATATTATTTTGAATATCTTAACGATTAAATATTGATTTGATTATATTTTCGATTAAATATTAATTTAGTTATCTTTTCGATAATATTAAAAATTTATATGAATATCTTTACGATTAAATATTTATTTGGCTATTTCTTCTATTAAATATTAATTCGGTCATCTTTTTGATTGGGTGTAGATTTAATTATCTTTTCGAGTAAGTTGGGGTTTGAATTTCGCTTGAATTAAATATTTATTTGGATATCTCTTCAATTAAACATTCATTTAGTTATCTTTTCGATGGAATATTGATTTATTTAAATATTGATTTAAATGTCTTTTCGCTTAAAGTCCGATTTGAGTATCTGTACTATTAAATACTGATTTGATTATGTTTTATTTGAATATTGATGTCTTTTAAGTGTAAGCAATATTTTTAAGATTAACCTGGATAATTTTTTTGAACTTTCTTTTAAAAAAAGAGTATATTATTTTCAAATTTTTTTTGTTCTGCTGTCTTTTTAATAAGTTTACAAATTTTTATAAAATATTTTTGAAAAAATTTGAAACGTTAGTAAAATTGCTGTTTTTATAAAACTAAAAATATTATGCTTTGCTTATCAAAAAAATTTTTAAATACGTATTTTTAACNCACTAAATGTTAAGTATCAATGTAATCATTTATATAATAATAGATTAGTACACAATTGTATGTCAACACATTATTTATTACCTTAAACTGTCTGGAATTTATTATTAAAGGGTTGCGCTTGCGTAAAATTTACTATCGTGGAAATTCAGCTTTTTTGCCTTTTGGCTAATCTCATCCTTGTTGTAAGGTATCCACTACCATCGTTCAGTTTTTTACTATGGCTGTTGTTCGAAATTAAAAATTTTAAATCAAAAGTGTGGTATTTTTAACACACGTGTATATATATCGTAAAAGTACAGTTTTCTTAATATAAAAATATTTTTAATGAAAAAACAATATTTAAATTTATAACTACAATTCAAAAGTTTAAACTTCTATAATTTTGTTTTTAGTTTTGATTATTCGAAATTAAATATTTGAAATCAAAAAGTTAGTTTTTTTTAAATATAATTTTTTTTAAATATAATTGTTCATGTTGTCTTAGGCCATAAAGGCAAGGGGGTGCGATTGTTCTTTTTTTTCCACTGGCACCATTTATGGCCAAGAATTGCATTTCTTCCACACCCATACGTCACACCTGTTTATAGGGCACACTCATTCATACATCTATTCATTCATTCACGCATCGAAATTTTGACCTGAACCAGAGAACTATCAATCTCCAATTCAGTACCCTCAGAGGTATAATTTGTTATGGGAACATGGAAACCCCTTGTGACCCGATAGATTTAACGTGCACCAGTCACCATTTATTACTCGGGGAGTCTTTGGCCGGCTATATTCGAATTCTCGTTCTCACGAATGAGAGTCCAGCGTTCTGCCAACCAGGTTATCCCGGCCTACCATGCGTTAGTAAGATATTTTAAGAAAAACAATTGTGGTAAACGTTTAGCAATTATTAAAATGCTAAAGTTCCTATACTTTTCTTGTTATTAAGTTATGTCAGCATAAGCTTATGTTACCTACAGTAATTAATTCTTCACTTATTTCAAATATTTCTCGTAGCCTTAATTTAATTAACGCCTTTGATAAGATTACTTCAATTTAATTACATTCTTATCGTTTATAATCAACACCGTTTAGTTAACTTGCCAAAAGTTCTAAAAGTCGATAACACATAGGCTTATGTTGTTGTTTATGTTATCTGCAAATATTAATTTTTCGCTTACAGGCGTCTGTTTAGAAGAAATTTGGGTCCGTTAATGGACCCTTCACAAAATATCTTGTTATAAAAACGGACCCTTCACAAAATAATTTATATTTTAATCGGACCCTTCACAGATTTGTTTATCTTCATTATTGTTTTGTTAATTGAATAAACCCTTCCCCCCCGGGGGGGGGGGGAAAGACGGTTCGAGACAAACTAAGTTTGCCTAAGTTTAAATTCCAAATGAAGTATTCTAAGAAAATATTTCTACTTTTACAAACATCGTGTGCGCATTCTTATTAATATTAAATCATATTTTTTATGTAAATGAATAATTGATCAATTTATGTTTTCATAAAATTAATTAATAGGACCCTATTAATTAATTTTATGAAAATGAATTATGTAAACAAAAATTAATTTCTGGCAATTTTTTAAATAAAATATTATAAATTTAAGAATTGTTTAAGTTTACTTAATGCGTAACACATTAAAAGCGATACATTACTAAGTTGTGTTGTTTAAAATATGTCAATTGAAATTATTAAAAATGTGAGTGATTTTGTTTCCATTATTCGTCTGAAATGAATATTCTGCGTTGAGCAGTATAGGGTAAATACCAAATATTTTTATGTTGCATCTCTAATTTAGTAGCAACAATTGTTGAGCAAAATCTTGTATCTATTTACAATTTAAAAATTTCTTGAAAAGGTTTTTAGCATTTTTTGCAGCAACAGGGATTGCCCTATTTGTACAAATTCACAAAAGCAGAAGCATGGTTGAAAGAATGTGACTTAACGCTTATTTTATATTCACAAAATTATGAATAGTTTTTTGCACATTTTTACAAAAACAGGACTTTTCACAAAATGTCTGGACAGACCCCTGCTTATAATCAACACCGTTTAATTAACTTACATTAAGTCTTTAAAGTCAATTACGCCTCGGTTTACGTTATTGTTTAATCCATCTATAAATACTAATTTTTCACTTATATCAAGTATTTTTTCTTTAAACTTAGTTTAGTTTACAAGTTACATGCGTTTGAATATTACCTAAGCATCTAAGGGAGTCCTAACAATGTTTGCGTTAGACTTGAAATTCGTTTTATTAACAAGATTCTCTTTAAAATTGCAGAAATAATTTAATTTGAAAAAACAAACTTTTTGCATAAAAAAAGTATTTAAAAGAATGTTATTTGCTGCCTGTTGTCCAAAATTTTTTTAAGCTCATTTAAATACAAATTCTAAACATGGGAATAGTCAATAGTGTTCCTCGAACACAATTGGAACTTAAAATTCAGTTAATCTACCTACTCTTAATATTTTACTATACAATAGTTTTAGGTAGAAGCGATGAATAATGCTGGATGCAAATGATTAACTTTGTTGAAAAACTAGTTTTATTATTTCCAAAAGTTCGAAGCGAAGCACTGTTTTGCAACAACAAAAAAATTGTTTTAAAAATTAAACAGAAGTTTAAAGAAATTAAGTAAAACGTGAATTAGCTCTCTATTTCCTAGTTTCCTATTTAGTTTCAAAGATTCAGGGTGCGTAGCGTTTTTAAAAAGTGCTTAAAGGTGCTTATTTTCGATTTTCGTTTTTTAAAAGCCCTTAACAGTTCTTTTTTCATTGGGTGTTTTTAAAAAGTGCTTAATTTTTTCCCTTTTTCAAAATAAGTTTTTTCCTTTACCATGTTGATTTTCGCTTCGAATTATACAACAATGTCTTGTTCACATTGTTCTATTCAACGTTTTCACAATTAGTTCAACCCCAATCTATTTCGACGTATTGTCAGTCCGTAGGGTATAAAAACGCCATTCGATTTACATGATTCAAAATTTCATGATTTTTGACATGACGGTTAAAGCAAGTTAAAAACGCCAATTGTCAAAGACTTTCCAACCCTGCCTAGTTATTATATTTTTTTAAAGTGCTTAAAAATATTTTTTGAGTGCTTGAAAAGTGCTTAAAAGGTGCTTATTTTTCGGTGAATAATTTGACTACGCACCCTGTAATTTATTATTGCTAAAATTCAAAATTATACGTAAGTAAATAGAAGTTTGTACTGTTCTTTGTTTTTTCTTACAAGAGGAAAAGGATTAAAAATTATTATGATGCTCACGTAATATTTAAACAGCCCCTTATATCGTTTTACCTTTGGCACCGTTTGATTAACTTGCTTTCGCTTTGTTGTGTTAGACATGGAATAATAACAAACTATAATGAAATGGTAGATATTCATCTTTATATGAATTCTAACGTAGTGATAGATACATTAATCTTTATATACACTACATAAAGTACTGATTCTCATTTAATGTTCATAGATAGGAGACTGGAGTAAGTGTCGAGCTACCGACAGAGATTATGCAAATGGTTTTCATCCGGGACTTGATATTCGACTTTCAATGCAGCCAATCATTGGATTCACCAGACGTAATATTACGTGCATCACGGAAGAAGGTGTCACCACTGATTTGAGGTAAGTTAATTAGGAACTTTCAAGCAAATACTTTATCACTGACTTTTAATCAATTTCTGTCGCCTCTTGATTTCCCAGAGACATCACACTCAATCAAAACTCATCGTCATGAAAACTCATTTAATGATTTATTAATTACTACCGCTGTTAATTTATGGAAGGCAAAATATCCAGGCACGTTTTCGGAATTGTGCTACAGTTTCATTTTATCGTGTGTCGGATTTCTTATAGGAGTCCTATTGCTACGCTGACTTCCAGCATTTTTATTTGATATTTAAGGCATATTTTATGTAACATGTATTAAAACATTTATTAATATCACATGACAATATTGATTTGATTATCTTTTCGATTAATATTGACTATATTTTTTGCGATGAGATATTGTTTTATTTATTTTTCGATTAAGTATTTATTTAATTTATCTCTTACATCAAATAGGGATTATATCATCTTATCGATTAAATAGTAATTCGATAATCTTTTTCATTAAATAGTGATTTCAATTTTTTTAGATTAAATATTAACAATGGTGTGTAGCATTTTTAAAAAGCGCTTAAAGGTTCTTATTTTCGTTTTTTAAAAGCCCTTAAGGCGCTTTTTTGTTGGGTGTTTTTAAACTGTGCTTAATTTTCCCTTTTCGAAAATGAGATTATTTTTTACCTTGTCGATTTTCGCCACCTACGCAAAAGCGTGGTTTTCACATTGTTCTATGAAACGTTTTCACAATCAATTTTGACGTACGGTCCTTAGCGTATGAAATCCCAATCATTTTGCAAGTTTGAATAAATACTTGCGAGTCCGCATGTGCATCTACTGATTTGGGTTCGGTGAGATTATTGCACTCCCATGTGCAACTCAGCTGCATTTTGCAGGCTTCAAATCAAATCGAAAAATCTCTGGATTTTTTTTATGATGGTCAATATAATCAAGAGAAATGGATGAAGACCGTACCACGAAAAGAGTTTTCAATGCCAGACCAGTTGGCACACGAAAAAGAGGCAGGCCGACGAATTTGAGATGGATAGATGGCCTAGAGAAATCCTTTGGTCTTAAAAACAAAAAATTGGAGAACACTAGCAAAAAAAAAGAGGTTAGCCTGGCAAAAACTTCTTGAGAAGGCCAAGGCCCACCCTGGGCTGTCGAACCATTGATGATGATGATGAATATAATCAAGAAAAGATTTCTTCGTCAGTAACTAGTACATGATCGTGTGAAGTCTTTGAAAATTATATGTTAATGTATATAGTGCTTAAAAATAATTTTTAGTGCTTTAAGTGTTTATTTTTTCTTGAAAGGCTTAACTACGCACCCTGATTAATTTGATTATCTTTTCGATATAACATTGATTTGCTTATCTTTTGCAATTGAATAAGGATTTAAATATATTTTTGCTTAAATATTATTTTGAATATCTTATCGATTAAATATTGATTTGATTATATTTTCGATTAAATATTAATTTAGTTATCTTTTCGATAATATTAAAGATTTATATGAATATCTTTACGATTAAATATTTATTTGGCTACTTTTTCTATTAAATATTAGTTTGGTTATCTTTTTGATTGGATATAGATTTTATTATCTTTTCGAGTAAGTTGGGGTTTGAATTTCACTTGACTTAAATATTTATTTGAATATCTTTTTGATTAAACATTCATTTAGTTATCATTTTGATGGAATATTGATTTAATTAATTATTCATTTAAATGTCTTTACGCTTTAAGTCCGTTTTGAGTATCTGTATTATTAAATATTGATTTGATTATGTTTTCGTTTGAATATTGATGTCTTTTAAGTATAAGCAATATTTTTAACATTTACCTGCATAATTTCTTAAACATTCTTTCAAAAAAAGAGTATATCATTAAATTTTTTTTTTGTTCTGCTGTTTTTTAATAAGTTTACAAACTTTTATAAAATATTTTTAAAAAAATTTCAGTAAAAACTGTTGCTTTTTAAATTTTTATAAAACTAAAAATATTATGCTTTCTTATCAAAAGAAATTTAAATGCGTATTTTTGATAAAATATCCATATTTCAAATTGCTTTAATCTTCTTTTGCTTTTAACGCAAAAATTATTTTCTTAATTCAAAAGTGCATGTTTAAAATAATGGAGTCTAAGAATATCATAGAATCTAATAAGAACAACAAAATAATAATTTCAATTTTTCGGAAGAGAGGGAGGATTTTTCTGAAAATTAAATAATTAGACTTATTCTGCGAAACATAATACCATTGATCTAGGCAAGAAAAATACATTTCTATGTATAGAATTTTTCAACCACTCACAGTTTATTGGTAATATTTCCCTTAGTGGTAGCGAAAAAACTTAGCAATTAGGATAATTAGCTCCTAATTAAAATTATTTTCTTAATTAAAAACAAATTACAATTGAATTTATTGATGTTTTTTCGTAATTAAAGCAACTTATTCTGTCTCTACATGTTTTAATATTCTTTAACTAAATTACGACTTGTCTTTGAGTTTAAAATGAAACAGAAAATGTTTATTTCTATTTGAAGTATTTATAATTTAACAATAATTTTTATATTCAATCAATTTTTTTAATAATATGCCAGCTCTTGAAGTAGCCTTCTTTCTTTTAAAGGAAGTAGCTTTGTTAAAAGGAATTTCTCTTTCTCCAAGTTCCCATAATTAATATTGATAATTTAAAGATAAAACAGTCAAATAATTTTGAAGTAGTTTTTTCGAAATTAAAACGGTCCATAAATCTTAAAATAGTTTTTCGCTACCTACTTCCTTAAATTATTCGACAGTTCCGGAAATTGTAGTTCTAAATTCAGAAAATTTTCAGATTTTGCCAGTTATCTCAACAAATGGACAGATTTTAATCAATTTATGCATAGCGTCTTTTTAAAGTGACGATTATCTTTTTTTCCAGAAAAGGTAAATTGGTAGCACGAGTGTTACATTGTTAGAATTCATTTCGCTGGATGATGATGTTAGGATTTATTGTCAGGATGATGATGTTATGGTTAGAAAATAGCTCTGTCTATCATATCATCAACCTTTATATATCATCTACTATATCATCATCAACATATTCTGTCTATTACATGGCACTACGACCCTTGTATAGCCATAACCTTCTCAAGATTTTGGATCATCAGGGGTCTGTCCAGACATTTTGTGAAAAGTCCGTTTCTTGTGAAATTGTGAAAAAATTACTCACATTCTTTTAACCAGGGTCCGCTTTTATGAATTTGTGCAAATAGGGTCCGTTATAGCAAAAAAACATTTTTTCAAGGGGCTTTCAAATTGTAAAGACATACAAGATTATGCTACACTGTAAAATTATAATTAAAAAAATTAAATTTTAAAAAATAAACAATTATTGCTGCTTCTAAATTAGAGATGCAGCATACAAATATTAGGTATTTAGCCTATACTGCTGAACGCAGAATATTAATTTTGGACGAATAATGGAAGAATCGTCTGCCGAAGACAAAACTTAATTCGTTTACATCCATCTTTCTTGTTTTATGCCCTGGAAAGGGTTTATTCAATTAACAAAATAATAATGAAGATAAACAAATTTGTGAAGGGTCCGATTAAAAGGAAAATCATTTTGTGAAGGGTCCGTTTTTAAGTTAAAATATTTTGTGAAGGGTCCGTTTTTATGAAAAGATATTTTGTGAAGGGTCCGTTAACGGACCCAAATTTCTTCTAAACAGACCCCTGATCATTCTTTTCAGATTTTGGATCCTTTTTTTCTGTTGTTGAAAATTCACAGTAATTTCAAGTTCTCCTCTATCTGATATTTCTATCTTGTTCTTGGTCTTCCTCCCTCTTTATTTTATTGAATAGAATCTAATAATATTTTAACACTTCTTTTTCCGTGTCCATTATAAATATATTTCTAAACCATTGGATTCGTTTTTTATTTTTTTAGTAATCATAAAACCTTACGTTTATCACGAATCTTGTTCTGATCCTCCAGTGTCTAACCTCACATAATAAGACCCCTGTAATATATATATATATATACAGGGGTCTGTTTTTAGAAGAAATTTGGGTCGGACCCTTCACAAATTTGTTTATCTTCATTATTGTTTTGTTAATCGAAGAAACCCTTCCCAAGAAAGGGGGGTAAACAAGAAAGATGAATGTAAGCAAATTAAGTTTTGTCTTCGGCAGACGATTCTTCCATTATTCGTCCGAAATGAATATTCTGCATTCAGCAGTATAGGCTAAATACCAAATATTTGCATCTCTAATTTAGAAGCAGCAATTGCTGTTTATTTTTTTAAATTTAATTTTTTTTATTATAATTTTACAGTGTTGAGCATAATCTTGTATGTCTTTGCAATTTAAAAACCCTTGAAAAAGTTTTTTGCAATATCAGGACCCTATTTTCATAAATTCACAAAAGCAGGACCCTGGTTGAAAGAATGTGACTTAGCGTTTATTTTATATTCACAAATTTCGAATCATTTTTTCACAATTTTACAAAAACCGGACCTTTTACAAAATGTCTGGACAGACCCCTGGTTAATCGAATTTGGTATGGTTATAGGATGTTGATGAAATTTTAAGAAATAACCATTTTGTCTTGACCATTGACTCTCGAGAAACGAAAGAAATACTCCTTGAATTTTCCAGCCCGTTCACAATTCTATTCTCGAGATCAAATCTGGAGCGCTCTGTGAAGGACAGTTGGAATTCGAATATTCCTTCAGCAAATAATTGTCGTCTAAATATAGCGTTACTGAATGATTGAGACTAATTACCATTTTTCATGCTTTCTGATTTCGATGAATGTTACGCAAGATCATGCTTGTATGTTTCAACTTTTAAATGGTTTTCGTTGTTAGATATAAAACTATACTTAACATATAAACCTTATTTCATTAAAATTTCCTCTGTAGTTCTGAAGATAATCAAAACTTAAAAAAGTTTTCTTAATTTTAAATGTCAGTGAAGTTTAAAAAATATATATATTGTACTTCAACGTAAATATTTTAACTTTTAAATACACGTAATATAATGCAAAGTAACGTAAAGTAAAAAAAAAAAAAAACGTTTACAAGATACATTTTGAACTTCTAAAGGAGAATTAAATTCTTTTGTAAAATAAATTCCACAAAAAAGAAATGTTTCTGAAAGAGAAAAACTGGATTATATTATTTTCTTAATAAGTAGATAAACTATTCGTTCGAACAATATTTTTATTTATTTACTAATTCTAGCCTATGTAACGTCCAAGAACTTCCAGTGTCTACAAAAAAATGCGTTGTACCTATTGACTGCGAAGTATCTCCTTGGAGTGAATGGAGAGTTCGAAAAGAAGGGTGTATTAGTTCCGATGGAAGAATCCATCCAGAGACTCGTACCCGGTACCGTCGATTACTTCAGATGCCAGTAGGAGTGGGAGCCCGTCCTTGTCCTCCCCTTTATGAAGAAAGAAATGTTTCAAATGATCTTCCATCTTGTTACAAGTAAGCACTGATGTTATTAGATGAATAGTTTTAACTTTTTCATGAAGTTTTTCGTATGTGTTCCTTATTCTCTATGCTATTGTTTATTATTGTTATTTTAAATATCTGACCTTTATTGAAATTTAATTCCTCGTGAACTATTCGACCGATTTTGCTCAAATTTGCTATTTCATCATGTGCAATTAAATTCTTTAAAATGATGAAAAAAAAATTGTGTTAATTACAATTCTGAAATTTTTTGATCTTTATTAAATAAAATAATAAAGAGTAATAAATATTTACTGAATGTTATTTTTAACGAATTTCATAATAGTATGCAAAAATGTTTCAATTTGCTTAAAAATTTCCCGATATAGCAAAATACGCAAAAAACAGTAAAATTATCATGAAGGGGTCCATACTTTGGAGCGCAACTATTTGGACCAAACTATTTGGATTTTAGAGATTGCGGCTACCCCCACAATTTGGGGGTCAGAAATCTGAATCCGTCAAAGAAAAAGGTATGTTTATTCAGAGAAAGTACGTTTTTGTGCCTGATTTCGTAATTTAAAATATCGTCTGCGCTTATTAATTAGCATATTTTTGAATTCGCACACTGGAATCATTAAGATTGAGTCCTAGAATTTGAAAATCCGATCATTAGATCAAAAGTTATATAGAGTAGTCTGAGTTTTTTTTTCGCACTATGTTTAAATGCATTTTATTATTTTCTTGAGGAAGCTTAAATTGTTTTGACTTTTTTTTATTCTATTGTTTTCTAGAATTTCATAAATTTTTTCGATTAGTTAAGAGAAATAAATTAAATTATCTGGACTTTTTATTTTATTTTTTTAAAAGTTTCTATTATTCTAATTTATTATTTAATAGAGAAAAGATTAATTGTTTTGACTTTTTATGAAGTTTTTTTAGTCTACGCTGAGAAAAAAAGTATGATTAAAACAGTTAAAACATCGTAAAATCTACGATGTTTCTGGCTCTATGGGAACAACAAAAAGCTGAGTAATTTTTACCAAAGCGCTTTGGTAATAATTTTGTAAAATTAACAATAAAATATAGTCTTATAATATGTGATAAGACTTGGTAATTGTGGTAGAATTTTACAATTTTATCATGCATGCCTTAGAACCTGGCATAAAAACCAATTTTTGTTTTATAAAAATGGTATACTTTTTCGGTTTACTTTTCAATTTTGTATTTTTTACAAAATTTTCAGAATTTCCGGCTAACCGTTCTCATATGAACAGAAAAATTATCAAATGAATGGTTTTCTTTAAGTATTCAGGGGTCTGTTTAGAAGAAATTTGGGTCCGTTAACGGACCTTCACAAAATATCTTTTCATAAAAACGGGCCCTTCACAAAATATTTTAAAATTGTGTATAATTTTATTAATAATTTTATAATTTTATATAAGTATTATTATTAAAAGTATAGTTTTACTGGCTAAATACCAAATATTTATACGTTGCATCGCTAATTTTGTAGCTGCAATCGCTGCTTATTTTTTTAAATTTAATTTTTTTAATTAAAATTTTACAGTGTTGAGCATAATCTTGTATATCTTTACAATTTAAAAACTCCTTGAAAAAGTTTTTTTGCAATAATGGACCCGATTTGCACAAATTCACAAAAGCGGATCCCGGTTGAAAGAATGTGACTTAACGTTTATTTTATATTCACAAATTACGAGTATTTTTCACAATTTTACAAAAACGGACCTTTCACAAAATGTCTGGACAGACCCCTGGTATTGATTATTTTGGCTTTATGAATCAGAATTATAGTGTTCTTTTTTACCAAAAATTTCATTACCATACAGTACAGTAATTTTACCAGAAAATTTTTTGACTCTCTCTACTGTTTAAGTTTAGTTCGTCATCTAAACAAAATTTACAAAGAGTCTACTGTCTTTTGCGATTTTCTTTACATTGGTGTCTAATTAACATAAATTCACAAAATTATCAGTTGAAACATTTTTCGCAATTTTAATAAAATTTTAAATAAACCCTTGATGAATGTATACCATCATTTTTAAAAATAGTTTATATGCTTATAATTAATTTTTGAATCATTCTAGACTTAAGAAAGTAAAATATTCTTAAGCAATTTCGGAATAGTATTATGTGCTAATAATTTATTCTTTTAATACTTCTAGACTTGTGAAAGAGAAATGTTTTGTAACTATTTAAAAATAGTTTTATATGCTTATCATTATTTTTTTTATTCCATCTAGACTTGTTAAAGATAAATATTTTTTAGTCATTTAGAAATAGTTTTATATGCTTAAAATTCATTTTTTAATCATTCTAAACTTGAGAAAGTAAAATATTCTTAAACAATTTCGGAATATTTTTATATGCTAATAATTTATTATTTTAATACTTCTAGACTTGTGAAAGATAAATGGTTTGTATCTATTTAAATATAGTTTAATATGCTTATAATTAATTTTTTAATCCGTCTAGACTTGTTAAAGATAAACATTTTGTAGTCCTTTAAAAATAGTTTCGTATTCTTATAAATCGTTTTTTAATCATTCTAGACTTGAGAAAGTAAAATATTCTTAAACAAATTTCGGAATAGTTTTATATGCTAATAATTTATTCTTTTAATACTTCCCGACTTGTGAAAGATAAATGTTTTGAATCTATTTAAAAGTAGTTTTATATGATTTTGATATATTTTGTTAATCTTTATAGACTTGTAAAAAATAATTGTCCTGTAACTATTAAAAAATAGTTTTATATTCTTATAATTCATTTTTTAATCCATCTAGACTTGTTAAAGATAAATATTTTTTAGTCATTTAAAAATAGTTATATGTGCTTATAATTCATTTTTTAATCATTCTAGACCTGAGAAAGTAAAATATTCTTAAGCTATTTCAGAATAGCCAATAATTTATTCTTTTAATCCTTCTGGACTTGTGAAAGATAAATGTTCTGTAGCTATTAAAAAATAATTTTATATGAATATATAATTCACTTTTTAATCTTTATAGACTAGTAAAAAATGATTGCCCTGTAACTATTAAAAAAATAGTTTCATATGCTTATAATTCATTTTTTAAATCCATCAAGACTTGTTAAAGATAAATGTTTTGCAGCTATTTAAAAATAGTTTTATATGCTTATAATTCAGTGTTTAATCCATCTAGACTTGTAACATATAAATATTCTATAGCTATTTAAATACATTTTCATATTCTTATAATTTTAATTTTCATTCCTTCTAGACTTGTAAAAAATAAAATATTCTATAGCTATTTAAAAACAGTTTTATATGATTATAATAATTTTTTTAAATTCTTCTAGACTAATAAATGACAAATGTTATGTAGCTATTTAAAAATTCAATTAGAGAATATTTTTATTGCAAAGAAAAAGCTTGTAAAACTAAAAAGCTCTTGAAAGTTTTCAAAGAGTTGTAAAAGAAAATCGTTTTTTCCCGATTTCTAAAGAACTTCTGTTTGATTGATCGTTTCCTCTTTGAAGTTGTTTTACGCAGATAAATAAAAAGAAAGTTGTTCTAAGAAAATTGAAAATTTCCCTGATAAAACGAGAAAAGAGTATTTTTAACTTAAATGAAAACGTAATTAACAAGAAAAACTGTCATCATCAAAAGAAATTAGTTCAGAAAAAAACTACGTCAAAATATTTGAACTTTCTTATATTTATTTAATTGAGCTGGTCAGGAGGAAAAGAATTGCAAATTTTATTAGGTTTTTGCTTTAATCACTTATAAATCTTTCTAATTTTGTTCTTTTCAGATTTTTTTAACAGAAGTTTTTTGCAAGTTTTCGTCATCAATTAAATTATTGTACTTATTATGTTGGTTGGCCTTTATTTAATTATTCATTATTTTTAATCAGTTTTGAAAGTAATACACTGTACAAAGTGGATACTCAAATTTCGTTTTTGACGGAGCTAGTTCTCTGAAATACGATCCTAGAAAAAATTTCGTCTAAGTGACAAAATAATTATCATCATTTCTTCTAGGAAACGAATTTCGCCATTTTATTTTTTTTTCCAAAAAAAAAAGAAGGAAAAACCATAATGCCTATATAACTTTTCAGCTAATCATTTTTATCGTGGACACCGTATAGAGGGGCCAATATCACCTGAACAACGCAAGAAAGACTGAAAGATCAGAAAGATAAATTACACCCATGCCCGAAGCGAGATTCGAACTCTGGATCTTCCTGCTATCTGTCCGATTCCTTGACCATCATGCAAGCCGGTCAGCTTTGTCTTCACTTTATTTTCGATCGTCACTTTATTTTCGTTTTTGACGGAACCAATTCCTGGCATATCATCCGAGCAAAAATTTCATCAAAGTGACAAAATAACTAACGTCACTTCTTCGAGGAAATGAATTACGTCATTCTATTTTTTTCCAAAGAAAACCTCCTAATGCCTAATGCATATAACTTTTTTAACTAATCATTTTATCGTGGACATCATATAGGTGGACCAATATCGTGCGAACAACATAAGAAAACTGGTAGATCAAAAAGATAAATTACACACATACCCGAAGACCTTGACCATGATGCAAGTCAGTCAGCTTTATTGACACTTTATTTCGATCGTCAAGCCTTCATTCTAGTTTATCTCCCAAAATGGACTACAATGAGGTTTTGTAATTGAGGAACCATTTTCGTCCTATATTTGAGAGTTCACGTTTCGTCACAAGTCACGTGCTTTTGTTACGAAATAATTTTCAAAATTAACGAAATACAGCTGAAAGATAGCTAAATCGTCAAATGTGGGAAATTTATTTCTGAGAGAAGAGAACAAAAAGAAAATTTGAAATATCATCAAAAACTAACTTGTGCCTTTTTTTGTGTAATTTACAAATTAATCTTTATTTCATTCTATTCTTCAGAAGAAAAATCTAAAATAAATATATAAACAAATAAATAAAAACATATGAATCAAATATCTATGTTAGGAAAAGTCTCAAAATTTGATTATATCAATAAATACTGTATATTTTCAGGACATGATAATGATTATCTCGACAGCATTTTTATTTATTTTCATTTATTTTTTTAGTGCCTTGCCTATTTCAAAATATTGTAACTTTCCATTGCTTTAAAAAAAAGTGTGAGGCTATGTAAGAATTTCAAACTTAAAGTTAAAGCTGGAAACAGAAGTTACTTTGCTGCTTTAAAAATATATCTTTATTAGAGCAAAACAGAATTTTTATATAGAATTCGAAACATTTACTAATTATTATCCATATTTATAGCTGACATCTCGATTCCTTCCGTGGCGTGAAAAATGATTTTCATGACTTATTCATAAAAAAAAAAAAAACATTTCAAATCAGTTTTTTAACCTGTAGATCTCATTTGTTTTTTCAGATATCAGTGGTTTCCGTTGGAATGGAGTAATTGCGAATTACGGATTCATGGTCAACATTTGAAAGTTTATATTGTCAAGCCATCTTGCGGAAGTGGTCTCCAATATCGAAACGTCACCTGCCTCCGTGCTAACGGTATGAAATTAAAATAATTTAGAAATGTGCGTAGATTATTAATACACGGTGTTCTGTAAGGACCGCATTTAATCTTTAGCTTTAGATTCCTTGTATAAATCGATGTAACACACTGGGGTTTTGCAAATCAATGTTAAATCGGAGAAGAAATAAAATCGCTATTGAGATGTGAAAATCATCCAAATTTTTTATTCGTTTTATTGTATGGAATTGAAGATGTTTCTAATAATGATAAAATATTTCAACTTCTATTTCCCCCGACAATCAAACGATTTTTGATGTTTCTCAGTAATTGCTAAAACTTGACAAGCTTTTTTCCTTCTAGTTAAATTTTACAAAGCATTAATATTCTATCCCTAATTTCTACGTTATTAACATCATTTTTGACAATTATTTAGAAAGCATATTAAGGCTGATCATTATGAAATACCCTGCAATATACTGGCTGTTAGACGCCATCCACAAATAAATGCTTGAAGAGAAAGGTTAACGAAATTGTGACAGTTTGGTAACAGGGATGAAGATATTAATAGAAGAGTGACATCGCACACTACTCAACCATGATGGGGCACATGGCTCCATTTTAGGGCTCTATCCTTTAACGGCCAATGTAGGAATGACACGCAATTTTAACCCAGGTCAGAAGACGTAGACAGCACCTGAGCTAGTACCCCTCACTCCAAACTTCCACGTCACAACCAACGAGAAGACTTTCTGCCACTGCAGATTTAGCGTGCACCTTGCTACATATACACATGTTTGTTTTGTTGGCAGCCAGGATCGAACTTAGTACCTTTCAGATCTCCAACCAGTGGTATGAGTAACTCCTATACCGACTGCGTACCCACAGTGCTTGTGACAACGCATATTTTGTCACAATATTAAAATAAAAACATTAATGTCATTTAATAAAAGCAATCATTTAAACATTTAAGACATTAAGATTCTCTATTAGCAGATTAAATATTTTTTTGTTTTTGTATTTTTTCACGAAAATAATTACACATGCGATGCATTATAGTTATTCTCACAAACGTCATTAAAACACATAAATAAAGGTTTTAAGAAATTAAAAAATGATCTACCACGTAAATTGCTGGTACATCTTTAGCTAATATAACGTGAGAAGTACTGTTTGGTATAGTTTAACACTGTGTAAAAACGAGAATGAAGGGGTCAAATATATTGAAAAAAGTTTGATTTATGAACGGCCTCGTATAGAAAAGCAATATTAAAGATTAATTAGTTTAAAAAATGTAATTTTTGCGTCATACGACACTTTGTTTATGGAATCTCTCCAAACTTGTGAAACGGCCACAATGACTCAAGGGATAGAGTGTTCGCTTTCCAATGAAGTAAACCGAGTTCGAATACCAGAAATGGCTGACTGTTCGATACGAATTCCGCGCCTACTTGCACCGACCACAGAGCTGACGTAAATATCCTCAGTGGTAGACGGATCATAGGTTAGAGGCCCCTTGCCGTCAGGTTAGCGTCTCGCGGTCTTCCTCTCCATGTAGTGCAAATGCGGGTTAGCTCCATCAAAAAGTCCTCCACCAAGGCAAATTTCTCCCAATACTTAATCCAGGAGTTCCATTATCTTCTGGATTAAGTTCGAAATTACAAGGCTACGTAGTTGAACATTAGTAGTCGTAAACCCAAAAATTGGGTCGGCTGTTCAACAACGGTTATAAAATAAAATATAAAATAACTTGCATAAAAAAATATATTAAAATCACTTTTCTTTGACACTGTTAGAAGTATTATGGTACTGGTACATATTCTAAACTCCTCATATGAAAATAATTATTTCAAACTACTGATTAAAGCATATTCACCAATACCTTCTAAAATGACTGAATGTACTATTGTTTATTTCATCTCTTTTCAACGTATATTTATCCCCTAAAATTCGGAATTCTAATAATTCTCATTTCAAATATTAAATGAATTGCTCGAAATATTTGCGTGGGTTTAAATAGGCCCCATTTTATAATTAAAGGACGATGTTAAATTATGCACTATGACTTTTAACTTTAATATTTATTTCAACTTGGTGATTAAGTTCCTGCCTGTGTGTCATTGTTTTAATCAAGCCAAACAGTGTTCTAGAAAACTGTTATGAATATTTTGTAGCACTGTAGTGAAGAGAGTTTCCAAAGATATTTTTGGATCCATTATTATTCGCTGTGTTCCCAAACCAAATGAAACCGGGATGTCATCTGGAATTACTTCTAGTTCAAATTGCCTTGTTGCGAAAGGAATTTATGTATGCAGAAGTTGGGATTATTTCCCCATTTGTGACACTATTATATAGCTTTTGCGCCCTTTCACTGTGATGAGTACGGATAAAATTGTTTTCTAAAAATGACATTTCGCAGAATATGAATTTCCCAATGGCGATAGTGAAAAATAACTTCGAAACTTTATGATGCGCAATAATTTAAATAATGCCGAAGAAAATTATTTTTTATAAGGAAAAACAATACTTTTTTTTCTCATCTTTGTGATGTAATTACCGAAAGTTTTGTAAGAAATACAAAGGAGTAAACCTTTAGAAAACCTTTCTGTTGGAAATAATGAATGAAATTGTTCTCTTTTATTTAAAATTTTTCTCTTAAGTTTTAATGTTATTTTAAAGTTAACCCCTGACCGGCTTGCTCTAATCCGCTGTTCCTTAAAATGATTTTGTTTTGATATTAAGTGCCATTGTCCGGTGTTCACTACACAGTTTTTTTTTTTTTGGTTAAATGACATTGCTCGGTGTACCTTAAGCTGAGGTTTTTCGAGATAAAGTATCGTCGCTCTGTCAGTGGTCTGTCCAGACATTTTATGAAAGGTCCGTTTTTGTAAAATTGTAAAAAAATTACTCGTAATTTGTGAATATAAAATAAACGCTAATCGTATTCTTTCAACCAGGGTCCGCTTTTGTGAATTTGAGCAAATAGGGTCCGTTATTGCAAAAAAACTTTTTCATGGAGTTTTTAAATTGTAAAGACATACAAGATTATGCTCGACACTGTAAAATTATAATAAAAGAAATTAAATTTTAAAAAATTAATAGCAATTGCAGCTACTAAATTAGCGATGCAAGATATAAATATTTGGTATTTAGCCTATACTGCTGAACAGAGAATATTCATTTCGGGCGAATAAAGGAAGAAGCATTTGCCGAAAACAAAATTTAGTTCGTTTACATCTGTTTTTCTTCCCACCCCTTTCCTCGGAAAGGTTTATTCGATTAACAAAAACAATGATGAAGATAAACAAATTTGTGAAGGGTCCGATAAAGAGATAAATTATTTTGTGAAGGGTACGTTTTTAAGTTAAAATATTTTGTGAAGGGTCCGTTTTTATGAAAAGATATTTTGTGAAGGGTCCGTTAACGGACCCAAATTTCTTCTAAACAGATCCCTGTCTGTGCACTAATGTTTTTTTTAATGTTAAGTGCAATTTCCAGGTATTCCCTGCGTTAATGGTTTTTTTTGTATTTATGACACAATATTATATTTAATATATTATATTTAGTATATTTATAACATAGTATTTAATATTTATTTTTGTAATACCGGGTATTTATAACATAATATTGGATTAATGTAACTTATAATAGATACTTATCTAACATATCCAGGAGTCTGTCCAGACATTTTGTGAAAGATCCGGTTTTCGTGAAATTGACAAAAAATTTCTCACATTCTTTCAACCAGGGTCCACTTTTATAAATTTGTGCAAATAGGGTCCGGTTATTGCAAAAATCTTTTTCAAGGAGTTTTTAAATTTTAAATAGATACAAGATTATGCTCGGCACTGTAAAATTATAATGAAAGAAATTAAATTTTCAAAAATAAGCCGCTATTGCTGCTTCTAAATTAGCGATGCAACATACAAATATTTGGTATTTAGCCTATACTGCTGAACGCAGAATATTCATTTCGGACGAATAATGGAAGAATGGTCTGAAGAAGACAAAAACTTAATTCGTTTACGTCCATCTTTCTTGTTTTCTACCCTGGGAAGGGTTTATTTGATTAACAAAACAATAATAAAGGTAAACAAATTTGTGAAGGGTTCGATTAAAAGAAAAATCACTTTGTGAAGGGTCCGTTTTTAAGTTAAAATATTTTGTGAAGGGTCCGTTTTCATGAAAAGATATTTTGTGAAGGGTCCGTTAACGGACCCAAATTTCTTCTAAACAGACCCCTGATATCTATTATTAACATTATCCAAATAAAGCCGATGATTCGAACAATGTGATTAGTTAAAGTAAAACTTGTGTTTCATAAAAACATTGATTTACTGAATAAAGAAAATGTTATTTCTCTTTGATCCTCAACTTATGTGATTTATTTTTTTCAAAGAATGTATGCTTATTAATTATAATAATCTCAAGACACCACCCAAAATTAGACAAACCAACCATCATTATTTTCACCTTCACTGCCTGTGAAATGGAACAGCTTTTCATTACCACTTCAAATTAGAATGTTTTGGGTGGTACTAAACAGAAAGAATACATTAACTCTATATTTATATGTTATAATTATTGTTGGAACACGAACTATTAACTGCAATAACACCTATTGGGATAAAACATAGCTCAATTATAGTATTTAGAGAAGAGTAGAGAAAAACCGGGTAACTCCATTCTGGCAAAATTATTAGTTCTGCTTTTTAACCAAGAAACTCTGATTGGCATACTACTAGGTGAAGAAGGAGTTGCTATATTGGCGTATAGTTATTGAATTCTGTGTAAATAAGTTTGTTTTACTGTGGCAACTCTATAATGTTCCTTTGTTTTCAAAACTATTCTTATTTATTACTCAATGCAGTTATAAGCCGGGGTCTGTCCAGACATTTTGTGAAAGGTCCGTTTTCGTAAAATAGTGAAAAAATTACTCGTAATTTGTGAATATAGAATAGACGTTAAGTCGCATTCCTTCAATCAGGGCCCTGCTTTTGTGAATTTGTGCAAATAGGGTCCGTTATTGCAGAAAACT